GGTATATCTACACTTGCAGCCTATTTTGCAATAGGGCTGCAAATGTAGGCATTCAGAATTGAAAATCAAGCCCGGGATTTAAATATCCCACGCTTGATTTGCATCTTCCCGGCCGGGCGCCATTTTTGAAATTTACAAGCCCGGAATAACTGCTCGTGTCTACACGCAGCAGTGAAACGGGCATTTGAACTAAAACTCTATTTTGAACTACCTGTTATTCCTCCTGCAATGAAGCTTAACAGGTAGTTCAAAATAGAGTTTTAGTTCAAATGCCCGTTTCACTGCTGCGTGTAGACACGAGCAGTTATTCCGGGCTTGTAAATTTCAAAAATGGCGCCCGGCCGGGAAGATGCAAATCAAGAGCAGGATATTTAAATCTCAGGCTTGATTTGCAATTCCGAATGCCTACATTTGCAGCCCTATTCTGAAATAGGATGCAAGTGTAGACATACCCAGAGAGAAGATGCTCTGTATCTCCAAACAGGAGGATTACTCGAGACCTAAGACATTTCACTGGGGACAGGATACCAGCTGGTCTTGGAACATAGTGCTGCCAATTATCTTTGGCATCTGCTGATGCCCTGATCTTGCAGATTAATAGAAAGAAGAGAGAGGCTAGGCTGAACCATGGAATCATAGAGCTGGCCTCAGGAGGTCATCAAGTCCCAGCCCCCTGCCCAAAGCAGGACCAACCCCAACTAAATTAACTTAGCCAGGGCTTTGGCAAGCCAAGACTTAAAAACCTCTAGGGATGGAGATTCCACCACCTCCCTAGGGAACCCATCCCAGTACTTCACTAGTGACCTCCTAGTGAAATAGATTTTTCTAACATCCAACCTAGACCTCTCCCACTGTAACATGTGACCATTGCTCCTTGTTCTGCCATCCATCACTACCGAGAACAGCCTCTCTCCATCCTCTTTGGAACCTCCCTTCAGGAAGTTGAAAGCTTCTCAAATCTTCCCTGACTCTTCTCTTCTGCAGACTAAACAAACCCAAATCCCTCAGTCTCTCCTCATAGGTCATGTGCTCCAGCCCCCTAATCATTTTGGTCACCCTCCACTGGACCCTCTCCAGTGTGTCCACAGCCTTTCTATAGTGGGGGGCCAGAACTGGACACAATAGGAAAGGATGACTGAAAAGAGCTAAGGCCCGTGCTATGACTAGACTAGCCGAAAACTATTAACTATCCACCTCTAGCGCAGGGCCACATTGAATGCCAGATTCAAACTTTCCCAAAGTTCATAAGTGCCGGAAGTTCTAAACTTCTGATTAATTCCTATTTCTGTTCATCTCCCAAGACTCATTGGCACAGTGAATTGGAAGGAACACGAGGACCCTGAATATTTGTGAAGAACATTAAAATGGCCATACTGGGTCAGACCAAAGGTCCATCCAGCCCAGTATCCTGTCTGCTGATAGTGGTCAATGCCAGCTGTACCAGAGGGAGTGAACCGAATAGATAATGATCAAGTGATCTCTCTCCTGCCATCCATCTCCACCCTCTGACAAACAGAATCTAGGGACACCATTCCTTACCCATCCTGGCTAATAGCCATTAATGGACTTAACCTCCATGAATTTATCTAGTTATCTTTTAATCCCTGTTATAGTTCTAGCCTTCACAACCTCCTCAGGCAAGAAGTTCCACAGATTGACTATGCGCTGTGTGAAGTAGAATTTCCTTTTATTTGTTTTAAATCTGCTGCCCATTAATTTCATTTGGTGGCCCTTAGTTCTTATATTATGGGAGCAAGTGAATAACTTTTCCTTATTCACTTCCTTCACACCACTCATGATTTTATAGACCTCTATCATATCCCCCCTTAGTCTCCTCTTTTTCAAGCTGAGAAGTCCTAGTCTCTTTAACCTCTCCTCATATGGGACCCATTCCAAAACCCTAATCATTTTAGTTGCCCTTCTCTGAACCTTTTCTAATGCCACTATATCTTTTTTGAGATGAGGAGACCACATCTGTACGCAGTTTTCAAGATGTGGGCGTACCATGGATTTATATAAGGGCAATATGATATTTTCCATCTTATTTTCTATCCCTTTTTTAATAATTTAAGACAAATACACTATCACTTTTTGTGTATTATCATCATTTATATCCTGGGGATGCCCATGGTGCCCAACTAAGACTGAGGCATCTCTGAGGTAGAGGATCATAGAGCCCCATCTCCAAAGAGTTTGCAATCTAAACAGGCAAGAAACAAATAGTGGCAAGGGGAAGTAATTTAGTCAAGGTCACATGGGTAGAGTCAGGCCCAGGAATAGGAGAAAGGCTTCCTTCCTCCTGTTTTTGTTCATAACCCACTACAGCACACCACTTCCAAATCCTACTGATTATAGACTTTACATTTATTGGGAGCGAGTAGAAATAGCATTTGCATGGAAAGTTTTTATGTTGCTGAAGGCATACACAAAATGCCCCCCACTTCTGCAGAATATACAATTATACAGCAACTTTTTTCCCCTACTTGGAAATGTTTTTCCTTCTTCTAAAACATGAATAATATGAAGGCTCTGAATTATTTACATCAGTCTGACAGCACTCTTCAGTGCTGCTGCCAGTGTGCAACCAGCTTGAAACAGCCAAAATGGAAAATGCTACAGATTTGTACACTAAACAGAAAATGAGATGAGGGGGATCACGCGGGGGTGGAAAGAATCAAAAATCTGGAGGGATTTTTTTTTCATCTGTTAAAACACTTTTCTTGAGAGAAAGGAATTCTAATGTATCCTCTCTACCAGCAGGAGTGATCATGTTTGACTAAGTGACATTTCCCCACTGGCTCTGTTTAGCTGCCAGCAACTCAAATGCAGTAGCTGGACCATCTTGGACAGGCAGCAGTAGCAACAAGGGGTGAAGTGTAACAGCTCGTCAGAGCTATATGTTCATCAAAGCAGAGCCGCAGTTCTAGTTTGAAAATGAACTTTATGATCCCGATTGGCATTTACACTAAGGCCAGGTCTACACTAATAGGGAAAGTCAAATCAACATACACAACTCCAGCTATGTTAATTATGTAGCTGGAGTCAACATACCTTGTTCCAAGTTTTCCCGCTATCTCCAGATGGGGAGGCCGATGGGAGCAAATGCTACCGTTGTCTTCCCTTACTCCTTGCAGAAGCAGGAGTACTGTCCATCAGTGGGGGTGCCTTTTGAGTTTGATTTAGCGAATCTTAACTAGACTTCCTAAATCAAACACCAAAGGATCGATCATGGCAGCATCGATCTTCCGTTTAGTGAAGACATGGCCTGAGGGTATATCTACACTGGAGCTGGAGGTGTAATGCTCAGCATGGGTAGATGTGCCCATACTAGCATAAATCATGAAAGTGCTCTAGAACAGAAGTGCAGTCACTTCTGAAATGGCCTAGTCATACCAAGATTCCTGTCTGACCCCAAGGTATCTACTTGGCATGACAAAGCCCACCTTCCAGCCTGTGCAGCTGCAGCTACACTGCTATTTTTAGCATGTTAGCTCAGTCAGAGCTAGCATCTGTATGCCTACCCGCACATCAATCACACCTTCTCTTGCAGTGCCAATAAAGAAGCAGGCTGGCAAGGAGAAGAGTATAATCACATAGGGAGGGTAAATTGTGCCCCTTAATCTGAATTGCAGCTCTCAAGAAGAGATAACAAATCATCTATTTTAGGTACTTATAAGGCCTCCATTACCATAATAGCCAAGCATCTCTCAATCTATAATATATTTATCCACACCACTCCCCTATAAAGTAGGGCTAGACTACTATACCCATTTTACAGATGGAGAAGTGAGGCACAGAGACGCTACAGCCCAGACTTTTAAAGGGTTGTGATGCCTACTCACGCTGGAAATCACACTTCCAGCACAGACACACCCTAAGGCCTTATGCCACTGGCACAGTATTACAAAGCCCAAACGAGTTTAGGCTGCTACTCACCACCACAATATATTTTTCCATTCTATGGCAAACAGGAGGCAGAATTAAATGACAGGGGTTCTTGGGCTTTTTAATCACATGACCAGGGCTGGTCCTAACCAATTGGCAGCCCCGGGCAAATGCCTGGCTCAACCGCAGGATTGCCAGATGGTTCAAAATACAGGACAAAAATTTGTCAAGCAAAAAAATAAAATAAAAAACGCCGGGGAAACCTGGGGGGAGGATTCAGGAGGTTGGGCTGAAATGTGGTCACGGCCCGCCTCTAAGACCAGCTCTGTTGGCGGCACCTTGAAAATGGCATCTCTTGGCTCATCTGCCCCTAAGCTTGGCTCTGTACATGATCCTTCTTTGCCTCAGGTCAGGTGATGAGGGAAATATAGGGCCTATTTCTCATTTACATTTCTGGTACATCTCCATAGCAAATGAAGATGTGACTTTACTATGAAAAAGGGCCCACTAATTTTGGTTCCCCCAGTTTCAAGGCCTATCTTATGATACACAGAAGGCCTGGTTCCCATTTGGACCACGGCCCCTTGACACGATTTGGAGAGTGTGAAGGGCTGTACAGTTGATATAAATTACAGTTACATCCACTTTTAGGGCCCTTGGTGTTGCCAGAATTGCATGAAGAAACTGTAGCATAAATGAGAATCAGGCTTTTAAGATTCAGTTTTGTCCTTGGACTATCCCAACTTTTATAGATACAACAACTCAGGTAACAAGGGTACATGATTTGTACAGCCCTGCAAATCTGTGGATATCTGCTTTGTATCTTGCATGTATCCATGGCATGTATTTGCTGATTGTGGATCCAAATTTTGTATCTTCAGCCCTTAAAATCTGTGGATATCCACTTTATATCTGCAGATATCTGAAGACTATTTTATAAGTGTGCAGGGCTTTAGTGATTTGCCTAGGAGCATAGAAATTGGCTATAGCAAGACTGGGATTAAACTCAGACTTCCTTAGTTCCAGAGCTGTGCCCAGACCTTACACCTCTTCTGAATAAGGAGCATAAAAGTCCAGGTCAGACCTGCTTTTGCAAAGATGTAATTGCTACTTACAAACCAATAGACATCCGGTGAAAAATAACATCTCTTCCACAAACACTACCCCTGGCAGTGTGACTGACGTTAGCACTGGCCACACAGGAAGCTGCAAGTGTATCCATAGATGCAAGAAGGTGACTTCCTTCCTGTCCAGTGATGGAACCATCCAGATCTTTGAGGATGGCCGAATGAGGAAACGGAAATGACACTTGGTTGGGTGAATTGAGGAATGCCAACTGTTCAGCTCTCACAGTAAATCCACCTGGGGAAACAAGCAACAATTCAGAAATGCAATGTCATACCATTGTCTGACTGGGACCTGGGGCACTCCCCACTCAATGATGACTGCTTGGGACAGAAATGGGAGTCCGCAGGCATCTTCTCCCTGGGTCTGTTATGCAACTGAGTGCATCCGTTGCATGTTACTGATTCTACCTATTGATTGGATAATGAAATATTTCAGACAGAAGAATCATAACCAGATGGGAAGCTTGGACATGGGAACTGCCCTACTGTGTGGTCCCAAGGACCAGCTAGTGCAATATCCTACTTCTCACATGTCTTTTAGTTCAATCAGTGCATTCCAGTGCAGGAGTCACAGCAGTTAGGTCCCAAACCAATATCATCTAATGGGCTCACAGACCCCTTCCCCTCTCGCCCCGTAGCCCATTGCAAATCAAACAGAGCCCTTGGTGACAACTTGACCTTCCTATTGCACAGCTGAAGTTCCTTTGGGGGCAGATTTTGCCCTCCTGCTTCAGTTTGATCTCTGTGGTGGTTATTCCCCTTTATTGGGCACTGGCGAGGCCACATCTGCAGTGTTGTGTCCAGTTCTGGGCCCCCCACTATAGAAAGGATGTGGACGCATTGGAGAGGGTCCAATAGAAAGCAACCAAAATGATTAGGGGGCTGGAGCACATGAGCTGTGAGGAGAGACTGAGGGATTTAGGTTTGTTTAGTCTGCAGAAGGGAAGAGTGAGGGGGGATTTGATAGCAGCCTTCAGTTTCTGAAGGGAGGTTCCAAAGAGGATGGCGAGAGGCTGTTCTCAGTAATGATGGATGGCAGAACAAGGAGCAATGGTCTCAAGTTACAGTGGGAGAGGTCTAGGTTGGATATTAGGAAAAACTATTTCACTAGGAGGGTGGGAGAGCACTGGGATGGGTTACCTAGAATCTCCATCCCTAGAGGATTTTAAGTCTCGGCTTGTCAAAGCCCTGGCTGGGTTGAATTAGTTGGGATTGGTCCTGCCTTGGGCAGGGGGCTGGACTTGATGACTTCCTGAGGTCTCTTCCAGGTTTATGATTCTATGATTCTATTAATTTTTTTTCACCGTTACTATAGGAAAGTACATGTTTTTAAATAGTTTATAATTACACATACACTTACATTTAACAGTTAATTGCAGTTGGAACTTTCTTCAAAGAGCCTTCGGGTAGCTCTTGAAAACTCACAAGAATTCTTGGTTTACATACATGTTCTCAGACAAATTCACCTAAGATTTAGGGTGGCCTGAGGTACAACCTCACTGGAATTCCAAAGAGGATGTGTTGTAGTGATTACAGAATACTCCACTATGTCAAAATATTACCCCCCAAAAGGAATATTAACAAATAAATGTGTTAATCCCTATCCCCCAGTCCCATAGGGCTTCTGAAGAATTGCCCCAAACTCAGAGGCATCAGAAAATTAAATCACAGCTGGGGAAAGAAAAACCATCATCCCAAAACCATGCAGCATGCGCGGCTGTCAGTTTTACCGCCTGACTCTTCCAGGTAGAGAACCCACATGCGGCGTCTGCACCCAAGATCCCCAGACATTGGTGAGGACACCGCAGAAAGGGAATGGTGAACCAGCAAATAGGCTGTAAGGAGACATCAGAACACTGAGGATGACTTTCAAAAGCACCCTAGTGAACTCATATGTGGCCAATGGGTGGAATTATAATACTCCCACCTAAAATTATGGCCCAGAACAGGCCAAGTCTGTAGACCAAAAGATGTGTGTTGATTTCCAGTACATCTATATATGCTCTCTCTCTCTCTCTCTCTGTGTGTGTGTGTGTGTGTGTTCTGCGGCCTTATTTTCCACAGCTCTTGAGCACCTCAAAATCTTTTAAGGGGAAGTGCTACTACCCCATTTTATAGATGGGAAACTGAGGCACAGAGTGGCTAGGTAACTTGTTAAAAGTCTGTGGAAAAGCAAGGAATTGAGCCGCCTGACTCCCCACACAACGCACTAATCAGTGGGTCACCCTTCCCCCAGGATACACGTAGCGAATTCTAACAACGCCTCTCAGTGAAAAATAAAATCACAAGTGCAACACCAAAATTTACAGAAATCAGGATTTCTTCAGACTCTGCTGTATCAGCAGGTCAGTGTCAGTGTAACTTACCCTGACCTTGGTGACAGCCAGAGCAGGTGCTGATTGCAGTACAAGTGCTAATATCGAAGTTCATGAAAGTTGTATTAGAAACCAACAGCTCGTGCCTCTTGGGAGTTTTCAGCCCTGCTGACATGCAGCTACCATCCTGCAAGATCAAAGTGAAGAGCACAGCCGAACAGATCAGCCTTTGGGTGTCCAGAGTGAAAGAAGCCCCGAGTCCAGATTCTCAGCTGCTGCAAACTAAGGTTGAGTCTCTGAAGTCCACAAAGCTGGGACCAATCTACATCATCTGAGATCTGCTCCTGGCTGTCCAAAATTTTGGCAGTAAACAAGCATGCAAAGGATGGGAAATCAAAATGCAAATAAATATGGAAAAAGAAGAAAAGATAAGTGAGGGTGGGGAAAGAGAAACAAAAAACACAGGCAAATCAGCAAAAAACACAACCAGAAAGGGTGCATCTACACAGCACCCTAAACTCGAAATAAGATACCCAATTTGCACTATACAAATTGTGTATCTTATTACGAGTTTATTTCAAAATAGCTTATTTTGAAATTTGGCACATCTACACAGTGCCAAATTATGAAATCACATACTATTTCAAGTCATCCCTTAACTCTTATGGAATGCGGGTTACAGAGATGCCAAAATAGCGCACCTGTTATTTCGAAAAATATTTTGAAATAACAGGTGACTTATTAAGACACAGGGTAGCTATTTCGGGATACCGAAATAGCTGTGCAGTGTAGATGTACCCAAAGAGAAAATAAACAGAAACAAGACAACAGTTTCAGGACACAGCACAAGTAGATATGGGGATGGCTAGTAACATTTTCCAGTCCACGTGTTTGCTGCTGCTGGGAGCAATTGCAGGCACAAAGATGGCGGGGGGAGAGTGGAGGAGGAGCTGGCATAAACCTATCTGATTATGTTAGTTTGGGGCTCACCCACTGTCCTAGAAAGACCTTCCTAGGCAGAAAAGCCCAACCAAAGCCCTACACAAACATTGTGTCAAGGAACTTTAAATAAAAAAATACTACCTGAAAGCACTCCAGCAGCAACAGGGTTTGTTTTAATTAGTTGTTTAATACCATTAAAGATGGCATTTCCCCTTTAATAGAGAGAGGTTTCACCTTGTCTCTTGGACCCTCAACGAGGGACCTTGGAGATTCTCTCTAGGCAAAGAACTTGGTTCCAAGGCAGTACAAAGGTAATGCTGCAACATGGGGTTTCACAGACTAGATAGATTTCACTCTTCCAACTTTTTTCCCCTCCTCCAGCTTCTTTTTTATTCATTTATATCCCATCACCCTCCATTTTATTCAGGTGCTTCACATTGCATAATCTGTTCCCTTCCTTTACCTTTCAAATATTTGTAGAGGGTTGTTTCACTCTTTCTTCCTCAAATATGGGCCACCTGCCTCAGGCAATCTGTCTTTAGCAAACGTAAACACTTTCTTCCATATGCAAAGCATATACATTTAATTCATTCACTGCAAAAACCAAAAGGCCTGGTCCAAAGTCCAGGGAATTTAACAGGAGTTTTTTTATTGACCTCCATGGCCTTTTACTCAGACCCAGACACTGCAGTGCAAAAGGACCGTGGACCCAATTTCAATTTTCCTAAAGCTTCCAAAAATAACAAGCCACTGGTAAGGCATCTTTTCAAAAACAAAAAGGCTGACGGCGCAGAATATCCAATGTTCCTGTTAAATTAATATCCCAAGGTTTTAATTGATGTTAAAGAGACATCATTATTAAAGGGAGAATTACATAAATTAAGATGTAAATTATGACAAGGAGACTCTTATCATGAGATAATCAAAGATAATCACACCCTTGGGGGGCTGTGAGGAACAATGCACAGCTGAGCACCTCTAAATCGCTTAACAAGTAAAGCAGTGGAGTTCTCCCATGGATCCTGAAACAGCAACCAAAAAGAGACTCATCCAACTGTGCAGCTCAGACACTGGAAGATTAGTTATTTAAGGCCATGGTTTTATTTGAGTTGTGTATCCTTATGGATCAGTTAACTCTATTAAAATGCTGTCTTTCCCAGGCTTATAAATTAGCCTTTTAAAAAAATACATCCATCAGCCAATCAGACTGGCAATGTTCCGCAAGTGATTCAGTAAGCTGTGTTAGCAACCAGAGCAGAAAAAATATTTAAAAGGAAGCTTTGGGCAGCTGTTGCTAAGATTCAATTATCAATTAATTTGTTTGCATTCCAATACCAGTTTTTGGGTCTTATTGTGCAAGATGCTGCACAAGCACATGGTGAAAGAAGATTCAATTTTCTGTTGTAAATAATAACTGGTAGCACTGGATTGTATTTTTCATTTTAAGACACAGGGATACCGAAATAGCCGTGCAGTGTAGATGTACCCAAAGAGAAAATAAACAGAAACAAAACAACAGTAGCCCTTTCAGGACATAGCACAAGTAGATGTGGGGATGGCTAGTAAGGGAGGGAGAGGAATTATTTAAGCTTAATACCAATATGGACACAAGGACAAATGGATATAAGTTGGCTAGTAGGAAGTTTAGACTTGAGATTAGACGAAGGTTTCTAACCATTAGAGGAGTGAAGTTCTGGAATGGCCTTCCACGGGAAGTAGTGGGGGCAAAAGATCTATCTGGTTTCAAGATTAAAGTAGATGGGTTTATGAAGGGGTTGGTTTGATGAGAACATGATCTTGGTAACTAATTGATCATTCATTATCAGTGGGAAATAGGTCAATGGAGGGATGATAGGAGTTACTATAGAGAACTTTCTGGGTGTCTGAATGGTGAGTCTTGCCCACATGCTCTGGGTTTAGCTGATCACCATATTTGGGGTCGGGAAGGAATTTTCCTCCAGGGTAGATTGGCTGAGACCCTGGAGGTTTTTCGCCTTCCTCTGTAGCATGGGGTACAGATCACAGCTGGAGGATTCTCTGCATCTTGTGGTCTTCAAAGTATTTGAAGGCTTCAATATCTGAGATATAGGTGAGAGGATTATTCTAGGAGGGGTGGGTGAGATTCTGTGGCCTGCGTCGTGCAGGGGGTCAGACTAGATGATCATAATGGTCCCTTCTGACCTTAAAGTCTATGAGTTTATGAATCTTCAAAGATGACTTAATTCTCATGGCTCCACTTTGAAGAAGTGTTTTACAGACCAAGGAATGAAGATTGAAAGATTAAAATATTGTCCAAAAGACACAAAGGGGATCAGTGTCTGGATTGGAATTGTGCACCCCAACTCCCAGACTTCTGCTCGGGTCACTAGACTAAACTTCCCAGTGACTGCTGGTTATATGCTGCCTTTGGCATTTTTGTAAAAATTTAAAACTAATGATTGTTAAAGTTGGTCAAAATATTTTCTACGGAACAGTTTGTCATAAAAAAATAAGTTGAGTTTAAATCTGGGAACATGTCGATTTTGCCAAAAATTTTCAATAGAAAAAAATCAAAATAATTCAAGTCAACCGTGTCAAAACATCATTTTTTGTAAGAACATAACAAAGGCCATACTGGGTCACACCAACAGTCCCTCCAGCTCAGTATCCTGCCTGCCGACAGCGGCCAATACCAGATGCCCCAGAGAGAGGAAACACAACAGATAATCCTCACATGATCCCTCTCCTATTACCCACCAAAACTGAGCAATACAGATCATCCAGCAAAACAGAGGCTAGGGACACCATTCCTATCCATCCTGGCTAATTGCCCAGGATGGACCTAACCTCCATGAATTTATCTAGCTCTTTTTTAAACCCTGTTAAAGTCGTAGACTTCACCACATTCTCTGGCAAGGAGTTCCACAGGTTGACTGTGCAATGAGTGAAGGAAAACTTCCTTTTGTTTGTTTTAAACCTGTTGCTTATTAATTTCAGACATTAATGTATAAACTTTTCATCTCGACTGTGTCATTTCAATTCCTTCTATTTAGTCTGTTAAGTTCTATTGTAATATTAATTTCTATATAATATTTAAGCTTATGCATATATATATATGTTCAAACAAATAAACAAATATTAAATAAAATGTTTTCATGGTCTCAAATCAACACGCTTCTGATTTTTTTTCCTGTGGAAAATTTCAGCTTTTCATTCCAATTTGAACTTTAAAAAAATTGAAATTTTCCCACAGAATGAAAATTCTGGTTCCAATTCAATTTTATTTTTGCGTCTGGATAGGGCTTGTACTTGGATATACAGTAAAACCTGTAGAACCTGGTATGTGTGAAAGGTGACATTATACATCATTTTTATAACTTTATTGTATGTCCCTGCTCTCTCCTGCCATCCTAAATTAGGAGGCAGCCAGTGTTATGGAGCCACTGATTGGGAAGGGTAATGTTAGAGGCACACATCCCTTTATTCAGTACTGAATCAGTGCCTTTGCATGGTGTCAGGGGCATTGTACAGTTGCTGTTTTTCAAGTGAAATGGAAGAACCAGAAGTTCTTAATAGTCAAGATATGGAAGTTTCTTAAAGCTCAAAGCTAAAGACACTGAGAAAAAGAGCCAAATCTCTTCTGGAAAAGCTGGCTTTTATATACCCTTCTATTAGGTCTGACACTAGCTTGTAAAAAGGACCTTTTTTTACAATAGCCCAGGCTGAAGAAACAAAATGAAAACAGCAATTGGTGTTCTTACCTTTTGACCAAGGTGTCCAAGTAAGAAGCTGTTCACAACAGAGCTGTTTCCAAGGCTTTCTACGATGTCAATTCCAAAATCCTTGCAAGCATAGACGTGGAAATTTCGGAGTTCCAGGTTGCTGCTGCTAAAAATCTATTTAACATCATAATAAATTAAGAAAAATTGTGTGGTTCATTATCATCCATTCACTGTTACATAGCAGAAGAGGGCGAATGTATGATAATTCATTGTGTCAAAGGCACAAACAGAAGTCATCCAATTTATCTTTGAAACCCACACTCTTATTTTTTTACTCCAGTTTGCAAGGACTCAAAAATAGCAGTGCAGTTTTTGTATCTACATGGAAATAACTTGTAAGAGATCAAAGTTACAAATTCAGACAAGACATAAATACATATTTTTAACAATGAGGGTAATTTATCATTGAAAGGGATAGTGGCGGATTCTCCATCATTTAGAATCTTTAAAATGTGCTTGGATGTCCTTCTAAAAGGTGTGATATACTTCTAAAAGGTGTGATATACTTCTAAAAGGTGTGATATACTTCCACCTCAAGTTACTAGGGCTGATGCAGGAGTCCCAGAGTTAAAGTTGGCCTGCACTTCTCTAGATCAGTGGTTTTCACCCTGTGATCCACAGACCCCTGTGGGACTGCAGATTATTGTAAAATATCCAGAAGCCCACATCTCCATTTGAAAATAAAAAGGGTTGAAAAAAACCACTGAAGTAGATGACCACAGCGGTCCCCTCTGCAGTGCCAATTGACCAAAGTGGATACAGAGGAACTGCACCTTTGAGGATTACACTGAAGCATCCCCGACTCCCAAAATGCAATCAAAATGTGTTATACCTGAGCCCCGCCTTGATTTCTCCAAGCTCTGAAGCCCTGGAGCAGAACAGGGCCCAGGCCATGTACACGTTTTGGCTGATACTCTGGATATACCAGGAGGCCATACCTGTTTGGGAAACAAAAATGAAAGCAGAAAATACTCAACTTTCCTTCTCTACATTTATTCATGTGTACGCTTTCCTATGGCACTGATCATGATATCTTAGATCAAATTTAGTACTGTAGCATTTATTCCGAAATACCAGGGCTGATGCTCAGCTGAGATAAGAAAGCTATGTACTTGTACCATTCTTCTATCAAGCTCTGGATAAGCTGGCTGCCCCTGAACTACAGGCTGTCCCCGGGTTACGTACAAGATAGGGACTGTAGGTTTGTTCTTAAGTTGAATTTGTATGTAAGTCGGAACTGGTACATATTGTAGGGGAAACTCTAGCCAAACCTTTCTCCAGAACTCAGTTTTATTCTCCCACACCTCACTTCCCTCAGTCCTTTATTCTCAAGCTGAGGTGTCTGCTGAGAAAAGCCGCTCCGCGTCTCCCTGGTCTGTTGGGTGGGGGGGGGGGGGCTAGCTTTGCGTCTCCTGGTCTGCTGGGGGGGCGCAGCTAGTGCGGGGTTGCCTCACCCCGTTTGTAAGTAGGGATCCGATGTAAGTCGGATCCATGTAACCCGGGGACTGCCTGTAATTGAATCCAGACGAAAAGTCCGTTCCAATCTGGAATTCAACAATGTAAGGGTAAGTTTTGATTCCAACAGTGCCAAATTCTGGATGCTTCTGCATGCAGTATTTTGGGTTGACCAATGGGAGGGCTTCTCTCTAGATGATGGTTCAAACCTCCTCAAAACTCAGGAGTGTTTGTATAGGGAGTTTTAGATTAGGGTTCTTCTGATTGTGGTTTGTTTAAGACAATTAAGGGAAAACTTTCCCAGGGCACTCTAGAAGACCCTTTGTCTGGTACTAGACACATAGTAATTATTAATATTATATATGTAGATAGCATATCAACTGGTAATACCCAGGCATCTCTAAGTACTTACGCTCCAATTCAGCAAAGCACTTAATAACACCCTTAAGTTTAACCATGCCCTCAAAGTTAAGTACATATGTTCCTGTTTAAGTGTTTTAGTGCATAGGAATAGGAATACTCACAGGCTTGAAGTTAAGCAGGTGATTAAGTGCTTTGCTAATTCAGGGCCTTAAATCTACAGGAATCACATCATCTGCTACTGAAATGCAGCACCTCTGGGCCGAAACGCATCTGCTGTTAACAATACACATGAAGACTCCAGCTAGTTTAGGGATGTATTTAATCGAAGCTTGAAATGGAAACTATTTACAGATAATCCATGAGACTCAACCAGTCTGAATCATGACCAGATGATTTCCTTCTATAATAGGATTTTTCTCCACAGCAGATCAGACAAAACCTTCAGTGAAGGCAAAGCTCCAAAGCAACATATAAGGGACAGAGCCTTTCTCCCAATGGCCTATCGCAATTCTAGGCATGTTATGAAACAAAAATCCTTTATCAGTTCATGCTAAGTAGAAAAAAAAAGAACTTTAACCAAAGGGAATCCCCAAATACCTTGTGCAGGAATGGGCTGTGTTCTCACTGAAGGACAGAAGAGCAGTTTGTGACGGCCCCTCAGGATGGAGATGAAAGAAATAGCCATAACCAGCAGCACAAACCGTGTTACCCTGCAGATAAGCACGTACTGCAATTAGCAAGATATCTAGCAATTAAAAGCGTTGTTTTTAAGATCACTGTGGGTCAAGCCCTCTACTTCTACACCTTCCGCTCACATAGCTCTCTTAAGTGCTATGTAAGAGCTCGGTACTTATTATTATTTATTTATTTATTGTATTACTGAAGTCAGCAGGGGCAATGGGCAATATAGGGAAGGGAGGGCATTGCCTTCCCAAAAAGACCAAGATGGCTGCCACACTACGGGCAGTTGGGAAGGCTGAGGCCACATGGCTGCCTGGCCAGCTGGGAAGACAGGGACCGCAGTGCGGCTTTCCTGGCTGCTTGTGGGAATGGGGCCAGGGCCGTGGGTGGATGGCTGCTCCAGGGGTTAAGACGTAGGACCAGGTCCAGGGCTGCTCTGGGGCTGTGATGGCTCTAAGAGCCAGAGCTGGGGCCAGGACTAGAGCTGTTAGTCTGCTCCAGGGGTCTGGCCCAGGACTGCAGCTGCCTGGCTGCTCCAGTGTCCAGGTCTGGGCCCAGAGCCGGGGAAAGGGGAAGCTGGGATCATATAGCTGCCCAGCTGCTCCAAGGGGAGCTAATCTTGCGCAGGGGCTAGGACCCATAATGCAGGGATTGAGGGTGCAGGGCAAGGACCAGTGGCCACAATGGGGGCTATGGCTCCAGTGGGCACAAAAGGAGCAGGGCCTTGGGAAGGGCAAGGCCTTGCCTCTCCAAGCCAGTCAAGCATCCACCACCCATGGAAGTCAGTGTAAATTCTACCAGGTAGAAGCTACAGTATCTTCATTCCCATTTCCTTTCTCACTCAGGGCCACCCTCCACACTCAAGCCATGCAACAGTACTGGGCAGACAAGCAGGCATAAAGCACAGCACCACGTGGTTTCCATTCTGATCTGAAACTTCGTCAAGAGGCAGCTAAGCAAAACTCCAGTTTGGTGAAAACTTTTTGATCACTAAGCGTTATTTTGAACATAAGCTGGCTATTTAAATCTTGGCCTGCTGATTTATGTCTTTGGCAATATGAAATTAATGGGTAGCAGGTTTAAAACTAATAAAAGAAAGTTCTTCTTCACACAGCGTGTAGTCAACCTGTGGAACTCCTTGCCAGAGGAGGCTGTGAAGGCTAGGACTATAATAGAGTTTAAAGAGAAGCTAGATAATTTCATGGAGGTTAGGTCCATAAAAGGCTATTAGCCAGGGGATAAAATGGTGTCCTTGGCCTCTGTTTGTCAGAGGCTGGAGAGAGATGGCAGGAGACAAATTGTTTGATCATTGTCTTCGGTCCACCCTCTCTTGGGCACCTGGTGCTGGCCACTGTCAGCAGACAGGATACTGGGCTAGAAGGACCTTTGGTCTGACCCAGTGTGGCCGTTCTTATGTTCTTATGTTATGTAGATTTTTCCATGCAAATCCAAACAAACTACAGTTAATGCAACACTAGAATAGAGATATCGAGCAGGACATGCAGAGTTCAGGTTAAAGGAGAGTGATATATCTGTGCTTAGAAGCTGAAGCTAAACACTTTAGAGATAAAGTGCAGTTTTTTATCAGTGAGAGTTATTAACTATTAGAAGAAGTGGCCTAAGGACACAATGGAGTTTCCAAAACTCAACATTTTAAAATCAAGATTGGGTATCTTTCTAAAAGATATGCTACAACTCAGACCGGATCTGAGCTTGATGTAGTCACTGCTGGGTGAGGATCTTTGGTCTGTGCTATTCAGGAGGTCAAACTAGATTTCATAATGGACCCTTCTGACCTTAAAATGATGAGTATGTGAATTAAGGGAGTAGAGAATGGATTACACAGGGATATACGCAATAGGATAAGGAGCTTTATTTCCCCCAACACTGGTAGTGAAACCCTTTCCCAATGGAGCCAATGGGGATGTTCCAATTGGCTTCAAAGGGAACAGGAGTTTACCCTAAATCAGAGTTCAAATCTGTTCTGTGTTGACAGTGGCTGAAATTTGTCATCAATGGTTGTGGTGTTTTTATGTGGATTCTTTTCCTCTATGACATTCAGTTCACTTTGTTGAGGTCACGGGTGAACTTTTCAATGGTAATAACTAATGACCCAAATCAAAGCCACACCAGTGACCCAGAGGTGAAAGGCTCCATATTCTATTGCCCGTCTCCTAACCCATCCTAGTTAATTCCCTGCAGTCGTGATCTTTGACATCTTTCAAAAACCAAAAGGATATCAATGTCTGAAACATTCCATATCTCTCAGCTTGCAGAGTGGCAGCAGCCTGAAATGTGGTCCCCAAAACAGATCCCTTTCCCTCCACAAAATGCTTCTGCCGTCCACTCACAGTATCCCTGTGTCTTTTACTTGCAATTGTAATTGTGTATTCTACAAAAAGTTCATAAGGAAAAACTGCACATTTATTCAGGCGGCCAATGGTGTGAGGACAATGGTCTTAAGCAAGCAGGAAATTGTGTGCGGACATCAATTCTTTGTGGAAGTCAATGTATCATGGCCATTCATGCAATCAAAATTCCAGAGAGAAAGTAATCACCTGTGTAGGCCAGATACATGCACCTGATGTCATTGGAATAAGAAACAGTTCGGCTACATCTAGACTGGCCCCAAATTCCGGAAAAGGGATGCAAAGCAGGTAAGTCAGCATAGGGAAATCCGCGGGGGATATTTAAATCCCCCGCGGATTTAAATAAACATGTCCGCCGCTTTTTTTCCGGCTTTTCCCCAAGCCGGAAAAAAAGCGGCGGACATATTTAATTAAATCCGCCGGGGATATTTAAATCCCCCGCGGATTTCCCTATGCTGACTTACCTGCTTTGCATCCCTTTTCCGGAATTTGGGGCCAGTGTAGACGTAGCCTCTATGTTTTAAGTTCCTTTTAACAGTACAGCACTGATAATGTTACTATTTCATGAACACCTTCTGATGAACAGTGCTGGTCCTTTAATGTTCTTCTGCCTCTTCTCCTCATGTATATAATACAACACTAAAAGTGTTTCCAGCACTATTCCCAACTGTCCACATGCATCAGAATGAAACACATTAGTCCCAACTTGTTGCAGCAGATTTCAGAAAGTGTCGTGGTAGGGAAGCAATGGCGGGCAGTGCTCAGATGCAGATGTAGCCCTCTCCCCCTGTGTATGATAGTCTGGGAGTTGACGACTTCAATTGATATTGGTAAAGAGCTAGGGAACTTTTCATCAACAAGGGTGTATCTACTCTGCACCATAGGTCAAAATAAGATACATAATTTGAACTATGCATCTTTATAGCGATGTTATTTCAAAATAGCTTATTTTGAAATTTGGCGCTGTCTACACAGCACTTATTTCAAAATAAATCACTATTCCAAAATGTCCCGTACTCCTCATGGAATGAGGTTTGCAGGGACATCGGAATAGCGAGCCTGTTAAATTTTAAAATAATGGGTGTGCTCAAAAGATGCTGTAGCATAAACGTAGCCCAACAGTGAACTCAACTAACTTCTAGGACAGCTGTTTCATGACCAAGGTGCAATTGTTAAGCTCCATTCAGTTTCTGGTGGACAGGAGTCCACAAACACAAGTTTGCAGATGACACTAAGCTAGGGGGAGAGGTAGATACACTGGAGGGCAGTGATAGGGACCAGAGTGACTTAGACAGTTTAGAGGATTGTGCCAAAAGAAATCTGATGAGGTTCAACAAAGACAAGTGTAGAGTCCTGCACTTGGCATGGAAGAATCCCAAGCATTGTTACAGGCTGGGGACTGAATGGTTAATTAGCAGTTCAGCAGAAAAGGACCTGGGGATTACAGTGGATGAGAAGCTGGATATGAGTCAACAGTGTGCCCTTGTAGCCAAGAAGGCTAATGGCATATTAGGGTGCATTAGGAGGAGCATTGCCAGCAGATCTAGGGAAGTGATTATTCCCCTTTATTCAGCACTGGTGAGGCCACATCTGGAGTATTGCATCCAGTTCTGGGACCCCATTATAGAAAGGATTTGGATGGAGTATTGTGTCCAGTTCTGGGCCCCCCACTATAGAAAGGATGTGGACGCATTGGAGGGTGACCAAAATGATTAGAGGGCTGGAGCGCATGACCTATGAGGAGAGACTGAGGGATTTGGGTTTGTTTAGTCTGCAGAAGAGAAGAGTGAAGGGGGATTTGATAGCAGCCTTCAGCTTCCTGAAGGGAGGTTCCAAAAAGGATGTAGAAAGGCTGTTCACAGTAGTGACAGATGGCAGAACAAGGAGAAATGGTCTCAAGTTACAGTGGGGGAGGTCTAGGTTGGATATTAGGAAAAACTATTTCACTAGGAAACTGATGAAGCACTGGAATGGGTAACCTAGGGAGGTGGTGGAATCTCCATCCCTAGAGGTGTTTAAGTCTCAGCTTGTCAAAGCCCTGGCTGGGTTGATTTAGTTGGGATTGGTCCTTCCTTGGGCAGGGAGCTGGACTTTTTGACCTCCTGAGTTCTCCTCCAGCTCTATGATTCTATGAAACACACACACAAAAACCCTGTGAACACTAATTTGTATCCCTGTATTTAGGGGAAGCAAGAAGCCAAGGATGAATAAGAACAGAAAATAAGTTGCCTTCTCCTCATATTGGAGATGATGAAGGCTGGAGAGATACCTGTGCTGAGGATAAAAATAAGTCTTCAGTTTCCAGTACCCACCTGGAAAAGTGAAAAAACAGATTGACAGAGCCAGAAAAGTACCCAGACATGAATTACTTCAAGACAGGCCTAGAAGAGAAAACAGCAGAATTCCACTTGTCATCACCACAGCCCACAACTTAAACCCCTCCAATGTGTTATCAACAATCTACAACCTATTCTGGAAAATGACCCCTCACTTTCACAGGCCTTGCAGGGAAGGCCAGTCCTCGCCTACAGACAACTCCCTGATCTCAGACAAATTCTTTCCAGTAACCACACAGCACATCTCCATCATAACCATCCAGGAACCCACCCCTGCAATCAGCCCCAGTGCCACTCTGTCCACACATCTACACGAGTGATTTC